GTTCCCTTCATCAAGGACTATTACTATTACTCGCTTCGGGAAATAGTTCTGGCATTGGGGAACTGGAATCTTGATAATTTTTAACTCCCTCAATGATATACTTCTTAACTATTTTATTATACTAATACAATGGTAGAAAAAAATAAGATACTAAGTAATTAAAGATAACTCAGAATTAGCTTTCGGAGTGGGGATTAGCTCACTTGACTAATACACAGGGATTAGTCCATTAATTAATATACAATTCAGATATAAAAGAAAAATCTAAAGAATTATGGATGAATGGGAATTAAAATACACAAAATCTATCATAAAAGATACATCTTATACAATCACATATTCAATTGCCCATTATTAAATACCCCCAGTACATGTTGATTTAGTATCATGTTCAGTCTTTTATTCTCGAAAATTGCTGTCAGCTAGTGACAAAGTTCTAATTGAATTTGAAAGGGGGGATTTAAACTTACCTGAAAAACATTTGACAGGTGAGAAAGAAAAGACAATTGCTTATGAAGCTTTTGCCTGTGTTCATAGCTCAAAGGTCATACAAGTGCAATTAGATATCTATAATTTAATACAAATATCAAACAAGGATACATGTAATATTGAATTCATGCAGTAATGCATACACATTTGTTTGATTCATAAACTGAAAATTACAAAAGGGATTTTCCTCTTCTAATTATAGTCTGTGAACTGGATTGAAGTTCAATAGGACTTTTCCACTTCTAATTATACATGTAGTCTTCATAGTGACAGCTAGGAACTTAAATATTAAAATGTCTTCCTACAAAAGGCTGTAAGTAAAAAAGTCAACTTCTATCTTTATTTAATCAATACAGATTTCTTCAAATTTTCAAAATCATTATTAATAGTTGAATTATGTATATTTATTGAGGTGTTGTAGAATAAAAACAATGACCTGCAAGATTTTGACCTTTATGCATCACATAACTCCATATAAATTGGATTTAAAGTGAAACTTAAACATTTTAAATAAAGTGCCGCCCCACAGCATGATCCCGTCAAAAAATTACAGTTTTCTTGAAAAGTTTAGCATGCAAGAAAATCATGTCAACCTTGATTCTAAGATTTCCATCGATTTTTCCATTCCTTAAAATATTTACGGTATCCATCCCCAGCTGTGATGTACGCACTAATTATCATAAATATTACATCATTGATAGATTTCTAAGCTGGTTGTGTTAGACCTTGTTACTAGTAAATGCCCATCATATTAAACAATACCAAATTAGTCTAAACACCTGAATCTATACCTAATTAATTTTGAAAAGGAAAGGCTGGCCATCAAATGAAATATGCTTTAAACTGACCAAGTTCTTCTGTCTAATCCCCAAAGGATACAGATAAGACTGATCAGAAATGCTCTAAAGAAATGATTGAGACAGCTAGCCTTCCTACATTTGAACTCGTATTAATTAATAATTAATTGGATGCTTGTCTTAACTCATTTCTACCAAGAGATGAATGGGTCTGTACTATCTACCATAAAACATTTTTAAAACAAAAAATACTCTCAGATTTTTTTTTGAGATTTAATGTCAGACAGATTTAATATTATGGACATGCTGATTCCATCCCACCCCATAAATTTAGTTTTGAAATTAATAATAATATACATGTATAACATCAGATTAGTCTATTATGCAATATCAAATTAGTTTTAATTGTTTTTCATCAAATTCATTTTAAAACTTAGGCTAGCCAACAAGAGCTATTTTTAATCCAACAGGCTTACCAATTTTTGCCCAACACTCAAGGGATAAAGATAACACTGATGCTCTACCAGTTAAATTAGCTCCTCACACAAAACTGATTAATTCTCTCTAATTTGACATGCAATTTTCTGTTATCAAAATTCTTCTTGATCAGTGCTTGACAATTACACTCATGTGAGAAGTGGGATTTCTCTAACATACATCATCTTTGTTTTAGATTGCTGTCAAGTATAGGCTTAAAAAAATATGTATTTTCTTGATTTAACACTTTTAATAAGGATAGTGCATTACTCTTACATTATTTGGGATGCGTAAATGAATAGTAAAAAACACTTTTTTTTTAATTTTACTTAAATTAAAGGTCAAAGTGACCTTGAAATAGGTGGCATCACACCTTTTACCTAAGATGCATAAACTGGCCAAGTTCGATGATTCTAAGTGTTACAGTTTTCTAATTATGGGCCCGAAAGGATTTGGCTATAACTTCTTAATTAAAGATCAGAGCAACCTACTTTTTGTGTGCAACACACCTTCTACCCAACATGCATCAGAGGACAAAGTTTGATAATCCTAGGCCTAATAGTATTAAAGTTATAAGCCGGAAACGAAAAAGCTAACAGACGGATGGACATGAAGCCTATAACATAATACGTCCCATCTTAAGGGACAATATCCCTCTGCTCCACATTTCACGACTTTTTTTTTTTAATTCCAAACATTGATTTTCAGCAACAACTATAACATTAAATTCAAATAGAAAATAGTTTGAAGCATGAAGCATTGCTTACTTTTTCAGAAATGAATAATATGTCAAATCATGATGTGAAGAAAATTTGATATGGTCATTAGAAAAATCAATTATTTTTAATCTCACAATTAAATTAGAAATATGAGGTATATATAAAAATAATTTTTACTCTCATACCTATCTAATTCCCTTTAGAAAACATACTGAAGGGATGTTTTTTAAATCAGAATATCAAATTGTTTTCTGTGCATGTAAAATAAAATGCATCCATAAACGAGAGTTATCGTTCCATTATCGCCCTTGAAATTCTTTTTTAATAAAATAATATATTAACTAAATGTTTATAAACAATTCTGTGGCTGTTATTTCTGTACAATTAAAAGACTTATATGTTTAGAGATAGATTTTTTTTCAATTTACACCGTTAAAAGGAACTGAGTATAAATGTTTTAGGTAAACTTTTAAAAATAATGAATAAATATAAACTTATTTAGCAACTTGAAGAGAACTAGAAATCAACCTCTGAACAATGGGGTAGGTTTGATTGAGTTAACTATAAAATGGTCCTTATGATAGAGATTTGAAAACTCTGGCATGAAATTTCACTGAATTTCATGACAAAATGTCTGCAGAAAATTATCTTTCTTATCTGTAGAGTTATCTCTCTTTTCAGAGTATCAATGAACCTTAAGAAGGGCATATTTTTACACAATATACACACTTACATATATTTTGTCCAGGGACTTGGATATACAGCATCTGTCAGAGTCTGTGTTTGTGAGACTGTGTAGCCTACTTGGGTCCTCACAGATGGTGATTATGAGGAGAGAGGTGATGGACTTCAAGGAAATGATAATGAATCAAGTAATACAAATAATATTAACAGACATTTCAATGACCAGTGGGAGTCATAGAGAAGGATTCAGGCTGAAGGACTCAGATTTGGACACAATGATGTGGCCAAATGACCACATTGTTATATGGGACTTAGAACAGACTCAGAATTATGACTTAAGTACAAAAACACTGATTCTCTGTGATTGTTCCGATAGCCCACCAGGATTTGCTTTACTTGAACTAGTGACACCAACACACAGGGAAAGTGTTAAAAATGCATGTATGAGAATAAATGACAAACTCTATGTATCCAGTTCCAAAAGCAGACAAATCTTATGTTCAGTTGTTGAGCCATTCAATCCTACTGAACATGGTCCGTGTTTTAGTGGTGTTATGGGGGGAGGAGAGTATGACTTTGCCCAATGTTTTGCCTGTGATTTCTGGCCTCCTCCTGCCTCCAAATGGATAGACAGATGTCACGCGTGGCCCACATCTTATGTTGTTGATGACATAGTCAGAAGTGGATGCCATTTTGTAGCAATAGGACACAAACTCGGAAAACATGCAGACAAAGAATGGAGAATTTCCTTCTCTTTGGCAGAACAAAAACTTGTCTACTCAATGAACCATTTGCAATTCTTAACCTATGGTCTGCTTAAATTGCTCTTAAAAGAGTCTATTAATCATGGATTAAGTGATAAGGATAAATTACTGTGTTCCTACCACATTAAGACAGCAGTTTTCTGGGTGATTCAACAAAACACAATACCTCATTGGTGTCCTCAAAATCTCCTGGAGGGTTTCTGGGTCTGTTATAAGCTTATCCTTAAATGGGTGTACGAGGGAGTATGTCCTAACTTTTTTATTCCAGAAAACAACATGTTTCTGAGTAATATCCATGGTAAAGCACAAAAGGATTTATTCACTAGGCTTCATGAATTGTATGGGAAGGGTTTAGTATCAGTACTGCTTCACATTCCAAGTATCAGGTCCAGTATTACAAGTGTCCTACAAAATCCAAGACAATCTGTTGATAATTATAGATACATGCTGTTCTTCAAGGTTTCTTTTGAATTAGATCTATTCCGTGAGTTGTATTTAACTCATATACCAATACCAGATCTACCCCGATGTATAAGGCTTTTCAATGCAGCAGAAAAATTGATAATTTTACCCCTGACCCAGTACCAGGTTCTCGTGCTAAAGAAGTTTACAGCATGTGCACTCCAGAATACTGTTTTTATGTTATACGACCTTTTTACACTTTTTGGACCACTCAAGGTTAATACTACCTCTGTTGAAAACAAACAGGTGTATCTGGCTAACAAAGCATCCAGTTATATGCTGAAATTAGCCTCCAAGTTTGGTGGTATTTCTGATTTGTTGTTCATTGCAATGTTTAACTACAAGACACTAAGATATAAAGAAGCCCTATTAGTTATAGAGATGACAAAGGTCATGTTAGCACAGCCGTATGTACCACTGCATATCAATGATTTGGCTAAAGTTGCAGTATGGTATGAGTTGAGGGAGTTCATAGGGGGACAATCCTGGTCTACAAAGATGAGACATGCTGTGGATATTTTTCTTGAAGTTACATTCTGTTACATTAATGAATTAGTGCCAGAACAACGATCTGGGTTACAGAGTGAATCCCCTGCATTATCTATCCCACTCTATGTTTTCTTGCATATGTTAGAGGTCTTGTGTTATAGACATGTAGACCGATTGAGAGCTCAAACAGCTCTAGAAGATCTACAGAACCTTGTCCATCATGATCAGAGGATGTACATTCGTCCACATCAAAGAGACATATCATGGCAGATTCTGGGGATCTGTCAACAGGTGACAGGGAACCCCCAGGCTGCTTTGTATTCCTACCAACAATCTCTCAGACAAGAAAAACATCACAATATTCAAACTGCAACATTGATGAGAATACAAGAAATCATGAGACTCATGCACATAAATCAATAAAAATATATTACAATTGTCACCTGTCATAGTTAAGCATGCACTTCAGAACTTTTCTTTGAGAGGAGTAAGAAAGACCCCTGCCCTTTCACTTATTACCATTGTATTTCTTTTTATTTTATTTTTTGTATGATATGAAAATGTGGTATTGTTTATTATCAAAAGAAATAGGAATTTATTTTAAATTTGTTTCTATGACAACCCACTATGAACATATAAAGAAGTTTTTTTTGCAAATTAAGTTTGTTATTTGTAAATAAAGTTTGTGAGCAATGATTTATTTGAGTAATTATGGGATCTCACATGATATGTATAGTTGGTTTTGATTTTTATCCAACGAGTTGTGTGGTTTACATCCCAAAGCCATTCTGTCCTTTAACAGATTTCCCTTTTTTGTAACACCCATTGAGACCAATGTTCAATGAACATGACCAATATTCAATGAATATTTCTATAGTATATTTATTAATAAGCATTGAATTCATATTTTTGGATGTCTTCGGTCCAATAACACACCTGGCCGTGCCGACAAATTGAATACCGCGCGTTAGCATCATGATAGGTAATTTTTACTTTAATTTTTTAGGATTGTAAGTTTTCATTAAATTGAAATAAAACATTTTACATTTAGGTGTTCCTAGAGTATTGAAAATGCATATAGTTCCTACTGACAGGTGTATTCTAACGCGCGGTGACAAGGTTTCGCGTGTGTTATAGAAATTTGAACGTCGTAGATTTCTAATGAATTTCATAAGGAAAATTACACTGAATGTAAATATAAAATGTTATGTCTGGAAAAATGTTGGGGGGGGGGGGGGGGGGCAAATATATTTCAAATATTAGATTTACTATGGTAAGGTCTTAGAGAAATAAAATATAAAAAAAATTCTTATTGATAAGATTACAATTAGAGAAAACCTTTCTGGCAAGCTCAGATAAATACCTCTAATGTATTACTGGTTCTTAAAATTTTATACAAATTCGAGTCGCTTCCAATATATTAAAATTCTGGATGGATAAAGTTGTAAAACTTTTCTGTGGTAAATTTAATGTAGCATCTTTACATTCACTGAAGTTTAAGGTTTGTTAATTAATATGTGGTACATGTGTGTGTGGGGGGGGGGGGGGATGAATGACCCCGTAAAACATTTTAGTTCGTTTTTCCAGCCCTCCCCTTTTGTGTCCAAAATATACATAAATTCAATTGATCAATTTTTGGAGAAGCTTTGTTCCCCTACCCCAACTCCAATCTGCCATCCCCCTTCCTGGATTCGCCACTGCTTACATAATCTGAATGTCATAAATATAGTTATTTTTGTGTTTACAAATAAATCTTTTTACATATACTTTTAGTCTTGTTATCCTTCTGCCTATTTCAAGACGATATCTTTTTATGAATGAACTTTCTTTTTAAAAAAATGATTTGTAAGAAACGTTAAGAAATTCATATGGACACTCAGGATTTGAGTCTAGTTAGTATGTATTTTATA